GCCTGCCTCTAATCCCAGCGCATTGAAGATACAGTCAAGAGGAGCCGGGAGTTCAAATTCAGCCCTGTTATAGATAGGGAGTTCAAGGCCAGCCTGGGCTACACTAAGACCCGTCTGTAGAAACAGAGAGAGACAGGCAGACAAACGGACAAAAAAAGGGATGGAGGCCAGCAGACAACGCCCATCCCAAAAGCCGTTCTGCACAGCAGAACTTTCTAGGGTCAGGAAGTGTTGTGAGCCTGTCTGTAGAGCCAGCACCATGAGCCTGAAAACAAAGAGTCAAGGAGGGGAATCTGCAAACTTCCCAGAAGGTAGTCCAGTCCACATAGCTAAAAAGGAACTAAGAAATGGACTCCTGACACTGTCCCTGAAGAAGAAAGTCCCAAAGGGAGTTGGTTTTCACCAGAGGCAATACACTAAAGGGCATGTTGGCAGACACCCGTAATCCAAACACTTGGGAGGTGGAGACAGGAAGATCAGAGCTTAAAATCATACTCAACTGTAAAACAAGTTTGAGTCTAATATGGGCTACAGGAGACCTTGTCAAAAAACAAAAACAAACAAACAAACAAAAAAAACCCACTCAGTTTTACACTTCAGTAGAATGAAATCCAGGGGTTGAACATGTATGTACTTAGTATGCCCAAGGTCCTGAATTCCATCCTTAACACTAAAAGAGAAAAACTTACAGGGGATGGTAGCATACACTTCTAAACCTAGCATTCAAGAAGCTGAGGCAGGAGGATCACGAGTTCCAGGTCAGGTTAGGTTACAAAGTGAGTATCTCAAAACACAAAACCAAGACTGCATTGATTTTTGTGTTTATTTGTTTTTGTTTTCTGTTTTTTCGAGACAAAAATTGGCCTGTGACTTACTCTAAACTCCCGAGAGCCCCTAGAGGGCGCTCCTTCCGCATGGAAGACTTGATAAACAGGTTTAGTGAGATATATTCATACAAATCATATCTCATAAAATTCACTCATTTAAGGTTCATAGTTGTCTTAAGTCTTCTCACAGAGTAGTGAAGCCATCACCACAGTCAGTTTTAGGACAACTGTATCACCCCCAAAAGAGAAACCCCAATAAACCTATCCTGTCGTCAGAGCCCGGGAGCTGGCAATAGAAGGCTCAGAAATCCAAGGTCATGCTCAGCTGCACAGAGAATGTGAGGCCGGTGCAGGGCGCAGGCTTTTAATTCCAGCTCTCAGACGGCCAGATGTAGGCTGGTCTTGTGAGACCGAGGCTAGCCTGGTCTACATGACAAGTTCCAGGCCCTCTAGGGCTGCACAGTGAGACTCTGTCTAAACAAAGCAAACAACTTGTATTCGTTAGGTGTTACTCCCTGGCACCCACTAATCTACTGTCTGTGCGGAGGGACTGGCCTACTGTGGATGCTTCAGCTGAACGGGATGGTATAATTAGTGTCCGGCAGCTTCCCTCAGCTCCGTGTTTGCAGGTTTCATCCATGTTGCAGCATGTGTCAATGACTTCGTTCTTTTTATCGTCAATAATATTCTATTGTACAGACAGACTGTATTTTGTTTATCCATTCAGCCATTGATGGATACCTGGGCTGTTTCCATCTTCTGTCCATTGTATTCAATGAGACTCGCTGGTCCAGACAGGTCGGTCCTTCCTAGTAGTTCTGGGAAGGGTGAGACCTAGGTTGTTCTGATCCAGGAAGCCGCACTCCCAATTTCATTTTAGGTCGCGCTCTTGGTACGAATGGCACTCACTGAATCTGGACAGTTCTCCATGAGGTCTTGGGTTTCTTTGCGAGGGCATAGCATCCAGCCTTAAGTCAAAGCTTTGGAGCTGGTTAATGTCTGCAGGACCACACCTCCCCAAGGAAACATTTGTATGTGGTGTGTGTGGGAACCTCTCTCACCCACATTACAACACCTTCCCTCGAACTGTAATGAAATCCTTAAGGAGAGTCTGCTCAGATGCCAACCTTGCAGATCTGACAGCTGATTGTTATGAAAGTATCTGAGGTCTGGAGAGATGGCTTCTTTCATAGGGCTCAGGTTTGGTTCCTAGCACCAATATAGAGGTTTACAACCAGGTATAACTGTTCCAGGGTATCTGGCTCCCTCTTCTGGCCTCTGCAGGCAGCGGCATTTTACATATGCAGGCAAAGCACTCAAACACATAAAAAAGATTTTTTAAAAAATTTATTTATTTATTATGCATACAATATTCTGTCTGTGTGTATGTCTGCAGGCCAGAAGAGGGCACCAGACCTCATTACAGATGGTTGTGAGGCACCATGTGGTTGCTGGGAATTGAACTCAGGACCTTTGGAAGAACAGGTAATGCTCTTAACCACTGAGCCATCTCTCCAGCCCAATAAAAGATTTTTTTAAAAAAATCTTTTTTCTTTTTTGTTGGGGGGGTTTGATTTTTTCTTATTTATTTATTTATTTATTTTCTTTGGTTTTTCGAGACAGGGTTTCTCTGTGGCTTTGGAGCCTGTCCTGGAACTAGCTCTGTAGACCAGGCTGGTCTCCTCACAGAGATCCGCCTGCCTCCCGAGTGCTGGGATTAAAGGTGTGTGCCACCATCACCCGGCTAAAAAAAATCTTTAACAACAAAAGGGCATTTGAGATAGACACTCCCAAGAGTGATATACTCACTGGCCAGTCCAAGGGACCTACTTATGGACTTGTGAAAAATGCTGCCAGGACTGGGGAGATGGCTCACTAGTTAAGAGCTCCGGGTGTTCTTCCAGAGGACCAGGGTTCCATTCCTAGTACCCACATGATGGCTCACAACTGTCTGTAACTCCAGTTCCAGGGGATCTGACACCGTCTTCTGGCTTCTACAGACACTATACTCACATGGTACACAGACACACATGCAGGGAAAACAAATCTTTAAGAAATGCCCATTGGAAAAAAATAAAAAAAAAAAAAAGAAATGCCCATTGGGGACTGGAGAGATGGCTCAGCGGCTAAGAGCACTGGTTGTTCTTCCAGGGGACCCGGGTTCAATTCCCAACACCCACATGACAGCTAACAACTGTCTATAACTCCAGTTTCTGAGGATCTGATACCTTCACACCAGTCCATATAAAAATAAAGTTAAATAAATTAATAAAAAAAAAAAGAAATGCCCATTGGATTCTGACCCCATAGAGAGAACAATATCATATGCTAATAACCTGCCCTTATAGGCCAGATTGTAATACCGATAAACCATATACCAGATCTTTCTTTGAGAGGCAGACCTGGTTTCCTCTGCATTATATTAAAAATTGTAAAAAAGAAGAAAAAAGAAAGAAAGAAAAAAGCCGGGTGGTGTTGGCTATTGCCTTTAATCCCAGCACTCAGGAGGCAGAAGCAAGAGGATCTCTGTGAGTTCAAGGCCAGCCTGCTGTACAGGGCGAGTTCCAGGACAGTTAGGGCTACACAGAGAAACCCTGTCTGGAAAACAACTGAAACAAAAAGCTGTGAAGGTACAGCTCGCTCACAGCGGGGACCTGGGAGGCAGCTCGCTGGGTTGCAGTCTGACCGAGAGAGGGTGAGCGCCTACACCTGAAGGTGCTACTCAGCAGGTGGCAAGGAGGCTCGGGACAGGGCTAGCGGCCAAAGGACAGTTTGTCCCAGGGTAAAGGCTGGCTGCAGCTGCTGGCTGGATGCCTAAGGAGAAGCAGTGTCAGCCAAGGCAGATTCTAGAGCCTAGCTGGGTCAACTGAGTATATAAGATAGGAATTTGGAAGCAGATAATCCCTGTAAGGAATTAAAATTGCAGAGACATAGGGAGTGGCTCATTTTCACCAAGAGCGTAGGCTGAAGGTGGAATGAGAAAGATGAAGATCAGACTTGGTGGCGCACGCCTATGATCCCAGCACTTGGAGGCAGAGGCAGGGGGATCTCGTGAGTTCACACAATAAAAACCTACAAAACTTCCTCTGTTTTCAGATCAGGCAGAATGGCCCCAGGGTTGAGTGCAGAAAGGGGGAGTAGCAGTGAATGTCACAGCTATGTTTTCCTGTGTCTTTGAGATTTTGTGTGTCCCTCCATGTGTCCCTCCGCCTGTATGTCCCTCCCACCGTGTGTGACCCAGGGGTCTAATTCAGATCACCAGGCTTGGTGCCTTCCTCCACTGAGCCATTTCAATGGACTCCCTTTCTTTCTTTTTAAGTTTGAGGATTTTATTGCTGTTTGTTTATTTTCTCACAAGAGAAAAGTAAAGATGAGAACCAAGTGTAGTTGTGCATGACTCTAATACCAACATTGAAAGGCAGAGGCAGGCAGATCTTTCCGAGGCCAGTCTAGTCAAGTAGACTAGTGAGTTTTGGGACAGCCAGAGCTATTCAGTGAGACCCTATCTCGGAAAAAGAAAACCAACCAAACGAAACAAAACTGAGAATGCAAAAGTCTTTGCCCTTGGAGATGGACAACATCTCCGGGTGGCTGGGGACGGGTGGGTGCGTTAGTGGTGCGAAGGCTTAAACAGCATACACAGGGATGAAACACGTGGTGATTCCGGTTTTAAATAGGGTGGTGCTGGGAACTCCTGGGGAAGGGGCTGAGGTTTGGACAGAGCTCTCTAGGAAAGTGTGGAGGAAGGGATGTCCTAGCAGCTGTTCCAGAAGAGCCCAAAGCCTGAGGCAGGAGCAGCAGGATAGCAAGTGTGTAGCCTGACAGAAGCCGAGTGGGAGGCCTAGGGGGACAGGACAAAGAGAAAAGTGGAGGGGTGAGGCGGGTCTTCCAGCGTCTTCAAGGCTTTATTATACGACATGAGCGTAGTGGGCAGAGCCGGAACCTGCGTTTGTCATATGCATGCCATGCAACTTCCTGGGAGATGGTCTCCAGAGCTTCCCAAAGACATTCAAAGCGCTCCTAGACGACTAAAAACAAACAGAACTTTCCTTGTCCTTAAAATTTCCCATTACCCTGCCTCTGCAGGAAGAGGCAGGCACTGCCAGCTCGCTTTGTTGTTGCCATAACAACCTCTAGGGGCCCACACTCGCGGGCAACTCTAGCTGCTGGCTGAGGGTGAAGCCCAAGGCTGCTACCACAGGTGAGCCATGAGGACAAGGCGGGGGGGGGGGGGGGGGGGGGGGGCTCAAAAAGGACACCTAGCTGTCTGTGCCCTGTCCCTCCAGTGTCCTCACTGGTCTCTCTTTTTTTCTTTAGAAACAAAACAACCTGGGAATCTTGTAAGCCTTTCCTTTCTGGTCTTCTTCTACCTCTCCTTAAGTTCTGAAAAATGCAGGGACAAGAGTGGAATCTATGCCAGGCAGTGGTGGTATAACCCTTTAATCCCAGCATTCAGAAGGCAGAGACAGGCGGATCTTTGTGAGTTCGAGGCCAGCCTGATCTATGAAACAAATTCCAGAATAACCTGGGCTACATAGAGAAACCCTGTCTCGAAAAAAAAAAAAAAAGTAGACTCAATGACGCACAGATGAAGCGGTGACACCTGTTGGCACCGTAGCGCTGTGGGAGTCTAGTGCAGCCTTCCTTTACGATTCTGAGCAAGCCCAAGACACACTGTCACTTTGGGGCTAATATGGCACCGATATCTCCTTGACTTTTGCTCATCTCTCATGTATTTTATTTTTTATTTTACGTGTATGGATGTTTGGCCTACATGTGTTTCTGCGCACAACTCATGTGCCACCATTGGATTCCCTAAAACTGGAGTTAGCCATTGTGAGTTGGGTGCTGGAAACCAAACCAGGTCTTCTGCAAGAGCAGCCAGGACTCTTAACAACCGAGCCATCCTCTCCTGACCAGATTTCTGCTGTTTTGAAACAGTGGCTCACTCTGTAGCCCACGCTGACCTCGAACTCATGGGGATTCCTCTGCCTAAATGTTCCAACAGTTAGGATTCCAGGTTGCATTACTATTCCCACGGTCCCTTTGTCCTTAGTTGAGAACAGCTGTGTGCAGGTACCGGGTGTGGTGACAAACAGAAAAGACTTGGTATCTGTCCTCTCTACTGAGATGGTGGTAGAACAGTACTGCGCAGGGTACTCTCAGAGGGGAAAGGTGCTGCCAAGATTGTGTTGGACTCTAGCGTGCAAACACTGAGGAGGAGTCGCCCCCAGAGACCATCTCACACACCACAGCCGATGCAAAAGCATGAGGATTTTATTAATTCTGTCATGACAGGGTCCCTCAGCATTCGGGAAGCCGAGATACCTCGAATAGCTGGCACAGGCTACTTTTAAAGGAGAAGGCCACAGAAGCAAGGGGGGTTGTGATTGGCTTATTCAAAAGAGCTATTACCAATAATTGGCTGGAGAGCTGTTGCCAGATCAGATGAGGTAAGAGGTCATTTTGACCCCGTTTCCCACAGGACTGAATCAAAACATACGCATATGGGTAATTGTTCAGAAACTGAGTATGTGCATGTGTAGCTGTTAGGTCCTTGGTTCCCAGGGGAGGAGGGGAAGCACTATGGCACAGAGGCTGAGAGGATTCAGAGTTGTCAGAAATGGCTTCAGAATTGTCTTAAAGTCTTACAACTTATCTTGAAGAACATATAATGATATCGTAAATGCACATTGGTAACCCCAGTCAGGATTCTGCCAGCAGCAAAATCCTTTCATACTACTGACCCCTCTTTTCTCCCTCCTTCTCTCCCTCCCTCCACTCCCCTACTTTCTTGTCAAGACAGGGTTTCTCTGTGTAGTCCTGGTTCTCCTAAAGCTAGATCTGTAGACCAGGCTAGCCTTGAACCCACAGAGATCTGCCCGCCTCTGCCTCCCAAGGGCTGGGATTAAAGAAGCACAGTACTACCACCGCTGCTCCTCTCTCGAGGCTCCCACTCCCCATCTGAGGTCCTGCCAGGAATCCAGCCTTCTACACAATGATGCAATTCAAGGGCCTGTGGAGAGGTGACTGTAGGGGCTTAGCAGTTACGAACATTGGCTGCTGTCACAGAAGATCCAGGCTCAATTTCTAAAATCCAAATGGGGGCTCATAACTGTCGGAACTTCAGTCCCAGGGGATCTGATGTCCTCTCCTGGTAAAGACGGAGGACCAGTAGGTAGAAGGCTTGCTTAGCATGCATGAAGCCCTGGGTTTGACCCTTGAATGCAGAAACCAAGCATGCTGGCTCCTGCCTGCAACCCCAGCACTTGGGAGGTGGCAACAGAAGGGTCACCAATTCAAAGTCATCTTGCATATTGAGTTTGAGGTCAGCCTAGGCTACGTGAGACCCTGGCTCAAAAAAGAAAAATAAGCTATTCTCAGCTATATTGTGAGTTTGAGTCTAACCTGTGGTACGCAAAAGCCTATAAGAAACAGAGAGGACTTGAGTGTGGCTGTGCATGTCTGTTAGCCCAGGCATGAAAAATGGTGGCAATTTAACGTCAACCTGGTCTACATAGGAGTTCCAGGTCAACCAGGGCTACATAGCAAGACTCCATTTAAAAAAAAATTGCCGGTGTGGTGGTGCACACCTTTAATCTTTGCACTAGGGAGCCAGAGGCAGGAAGTTCTCTGTGAGTTCAAGGCCAGCCTGGCTACAAAGTGAGTTCAAGGACAGCTAAGGCTGTTACACAGAGAAACCCTGTCTCGGAAAACCAAAAAATAAAATAAAATAAAAAGATTTTCAAAACTGGGTAGCAGGGGCTGGAAAGATGGCTCAGTGGTTAAGAGCATTGCTTGCTCTTCCAAAGGTCCTGAGTTCAATTCCCAGCAACCACATGGTGGCTCACAACCATCTGTAATGAGGTCTGGCGCCCTCTTCTGGCCTGCAGGCATACAGACAGAACATTGTATACAGAATAAATAAATAAATTTTAAAAAAAAGGAAAAAAATCAAAACTGGGTAGCAACAAAGTGTGAGCAAAGATTGGTTCCTTCTGTGGGGATAGAGGCAGTACAACTGCACAGGTGGCAGGCACGGTAGTGCTCAACCTGAAGCATTCTTCTGTGGGGACAGAGCCTGCACAGCTGCACAGGTGGCAGGCACGGCGGTGTTCAACCTGAAGCACACATTTTTGAGGCTGACCCTGTGGGTAGATGCTGAGATAACCATGTTGGGGGGGACTGGCCTGAGGTTACTTTGATTGGCAGTACATGTGTGTGCTGCTGGTGCAAGATTTAATGGGAGTTGGGGCTGAAGAGATGGCTCAGAGGTTAAGAGCATTGCCTGCTCTTCCAAAGGTCCTGAGTTCAATTCCCAGCAACCACATGGTGGCTGACAACCATCTGTAATGGGGTCTGGTGCCCTCTTCTGGTCTACAGGCATACACACAGAGAGAATATTGTATACATAATGAATAAATAAATATATATAAAAAAAGATTTAATGGGAGTGAATTTGTGCAGCCTCAGAACCCAGGGAATATACAGTATTATTTGTTGAGAAGGAACTGGGTTCCCCAGGATTTAGACAAGACCACTTTTTATCACCCCTGAGCAAACTCCATGGGGACAGATGAAAAGACATGGATGTCCTCTCTGGAGATTCTGGGAGATATGAGGAACACAAATAGGGCCTCCCAGACACCTGGAGGAGGCCCTGGGCCCCCCACTGTTTCTTTATAGGTTCTAGCAGATAGAGCATAGAAGAAGCTGACCAGGGGTTTGAGCTGAGTGGTAAAGCAGAGGTCAGGGGTCAGAGGTGGAAAGGTGCTGCAGACTTTCCTACTGTGTTTATCTTGAGTTCAGGTCTCTCAGTATAGTCAGCCAGGGGTAGGTGGTCACCTTGGGATCAGCCTTTGTTTTGTTTTGGTTTGGTTTGGTCTTTTTGAGACAGGGTTTCTCTGTAGCTTTGGAACCTGTCCTGGAACTAGCTCTTGAAGACCAGGCTGACTTTGAACTCACAGAGATCCGCCTGCCTCTGCCTCCCAAGTGCTGGGATTAAAGGTGTGTGCCACCACCACCCGGCTGGAATCCGTCTCTTGAATTTGTAGGACTGCCCCAGTTGAAAGGCAGCCCTGAGCTTCACCTTCTGTCCCATCTACCAGGTATGTAGGGCCAACCGAGCAGGCACTGGGCCAGGGATGTCCTGAAGTTTGTGTGGAAGGCAACTGTCTGCCTAATAACATTGGCCTCTCCTGGAGTGGTCCCAGCACTTGCCACCATCTGATCCTTCCTACTGGGCTTCTCTTCTATCAAAACCCATTCTGATTGGTCCTTCTAGTCACTAAGTATGTGACCATCATTCTTCCCTGAGGTCATCACAAACCCTGGGTTCCTATTGGTCTCCTTGGGTTCCAAAGCGATTGTGCCATCAGTCCCCATAGAAGGGCCCCAGGAGAATGGAAGAGAGGGGAGTGTCCTGGGTCAGTCCAGCACAGAAGGATCCCCACTGAGGGCTGCTCACCTGCCCTGGGGACTCAGAACACACATGACCTGCCCTACTGGAACTCAGGCAGGCACCTCCCCAGGAAGCCCCAGGATCCCAGAGATACACGGGATACACTGAGTCCCTGATGCTCCTACCTCTCGCCAGCACCCTTCAACACCACAGAAGCAGCTAACATGCCAGTCACCAAGTGCCCAAGAAAATCAGAGCCCCTGTGGAAGGGGTGGGACCGGAAAGCCCAGAAGAATGGACTGAGGCACCAAGTATTTGCAGTGAACGGCGATCACTATGTGGGCGAATGGAAAGACAACTTAAAACATGGTGAGCAGGGGGTCCTCAAGGGGTCAGTGTGGGGTCAGAGTGGGCGGGCAAAGCAAAGCAACCAGGAAGTGGTTGCACTCAGGAGGCAGGGGCAGGGGGATCTCTGTGAGTTCGAGGCCAGCCTGATCTACAAAGTGAGTTCCAGGACAGGCCCTGTCTCAAACAAACAAACAAACAACAACAAAACCCACAACCAAAAGCAGTGTATAGAATTCACTAGAAACGTAAGTGGCGGTGTTCCCATCCTCCTGGGGGGTAGATGTTGATCAGTGTACAGAATTCACTAGGAACATAAGAGGTGGTGTTCCCATCCTCCTGGGGGTAGATGTTGATCAGGACAAGCAAGGGGCATTCCCATGCTTTGGCTCTGAAGCCCATCTCAGCCATGACTTCAGCTGAACAAGGGTTTAGGGACACTGGTAGGATAGATGTCTGGAGCTGGGGCTCTGGGGGTGGAGCTGGGCCCCTCACTGCCTTCTGATAGGCTGGCTGAGCCTGGGGCTGGATGACAGAAAAGGTCAAAGTGATAAGAAAATGGCTTGCCGAAGGGGCTCCGGGCTTCAGACCCCCCTGATGCTCTGAAGATGGTGGATCACAGGGTCTGGGCCTCAGAACACAGGTAGGACCAGTACAACCCCCAAAAGTAACTCAGCTTCCACGATTCCTCCCGTGTGCCTGGGCTCAGGTCTGACCAGCAGAGGGCGAAGGTGTTCTGGTAATACAGTGCAAACCAGGGCGGGGGTGCGGGAGGCTTCATTAAAAGTCTTCAGAGTCTCACACTGCAGTCTTGCAATTCCAGACTTAACCACCGTCTTCTCCTGCCTTCCGGAGTTATCTACACTAAAACCATGAGCCTGCAGTGTTAGAATCCCAGTTCTACCTGCTACAGTCTGGAGGTAGTCATTCCCACACTCTGAGCCTCAGTTTCCTCACCTGTCAAGTGGAAACAACTACCAGAGAGGAGAGGGAAGGGAGTAGAGGCAGAAACCAGTAGGGAGCTGGGTGATGTTGGAACTGGGCAGAGAGGACAAGAATGCAAGGGCCAGGCTAAGGGTCTAAAGTTCAGACCTTAAACAGTAGAATTAGTTAGGTAGATTGGTATACCTTGATGGAGGGACCGACCTGAAGTCAGTGTAGCTGGAGCAGAGAAGTGGGCCGGGATTGGTGTGGTTTTATTGTTACAATTATTGGCTCAGGAGGCTGAGCCACCCTCTCTCAACAAAAGAAAGTATGTGGCAGGGAGCCAGGGGGGGATGGTGCATTCCTGTAGTTTCAAGCACTTGGAAGATGATGCAGGAAGATGATGAGTTCAAATCCAGCTTCCCCTACACAGTAAGTTCAAGGTCAGCCTGAGCTACCAGAGACCCTATCTCAAAACAAAATAAAGTTTAAAAAGGAAGGAAGAAAAAGAGCAGTGGCCAGCTGTGGAGGCTCATACTTTTCCTCCCAACACTCCAGAGGCAGAGGAAGGAGATCTCTGTGCATGTGAGTTCAAGACCAGCCTGGTCTGCATAGAAAGTTCCAGGCCAGCTGGGCTGCATAATGAAATCCTGTCTCAAAAATGAAACAAATAAAACAAAGAGGGGTGAAGAGAGGAAGGGAAGAAAGGAGAGAGAATGAGAAAGAGACTCGGGTACAGCTAACTGTCCAATAAACATACTGTGCCTCATGGACCACTGTGAGCCTTGTGTTTGTTTTTAAAAAAAGATTTATTTTATGAGGGGCTGGAGAGATGACTCAGCGGTTAAGAGCATTGCCTGATCTTCCAGAGGTCCTGAGTTCCATTCCCAGCAACCACATGGTGGCTCACAACCATCTGTAATGAGATCTGGTGCCCTCTTCTTGCCTGCAGGCATACACACAGATAGAATATTGTATACATAATAAGTAAATACATTAAAAAAAGATTTATTTTATGTGCATGAGCGTTTTGCCTTTATGTATGTATATGGACCATGTGAGTGCCTAGTACCCAGGGAGATGAGAAGAAAGCATTAGATCCCACTGGAACTGCAGTTCCAGGTGGTTGTGCATGCTGGGAACAGAAGCCAGGTCCTCTGCAAAGGCAGCAAGTACTCTCACTGCTGACCCAGCTCTCCAGCCCCAAGCTTTGTCTGTCTTTATTACAGGACAAACCTTGTTGAAAAGAAGGGAACAAAAAAAAAAAGAAAAGAAGGGAACAGGCGGCAGGGCGGTGGTGGCGCACGCCTTTAATCCCAGCACTCGGGAGGCAGAGGCAGGCGGATCTCTGTGAGTTCAAGACCAGCCAGGTCTACAAGAGCTAGTTCCAGGACAGGCTCCAAAACCACAGAGAAACCCTGTCTCGAAAAACCAAAAAAAAAAAAAAAAAAAAAAGAAGAAGGGAACAGGCTAGTCAGCACGGTGTGTGCCAAAAACGTGTGGATGAAGGGTGAGTCTGCCCTTGTCAGGAATAACCTAGATCAAGTTTTTATCTCACAATGTGAATATTTTATTTCATAATATTTCAAATATTGTTAGGCAGATGTCCTACCACTGAGATATGACTGAAGCCCTACCTGCTCTAGATTTAAAAACCCAAGGGTTGGGCCCGGGAGATCGCTCAGAAGTTAAGAGCAAGTATTGTTCACTGGTGTCAGTGGTACACACCTTTAAGCTGAGCATGCAGGAGGCAGAGGCAGGTAGAGCTCTGAGCTGGAGCCAGCCGGGTTTACATAGCAAGTCGTAGGCCATCTGGGGAAACACAGTGTAATCATGTCTCAACAATAACAAAACAAACAAGAAAGCTGAGAATCTGAATTCAGTTCCCAGCACCCACTTCCAGTGGCTCATAATCACTGTAACTTCACCTCCCAGGATTATAGCACCCTCTCCTGGCCTCTGTAGGTACTACATTCACATGACATTCACACAGGCACATAAAAATAAATCTCTAAAAATAAATACTATTTTATAAATAAAATTTAAAATCCAAGGGCTAGGAATGTATCTCAGTGCTTGTCTTACCAAGTTTCTACTGTTGTGATGAAACAGCACAGACCAAAGCAACTTAGAGCGGAAAGGGTTTATTTCTGTCTGTCCTTCCACGTTACAGTTCATCAGCAAAGCAAGTCAGGAGCTGATGCAGAGGCCAAGGAGGAGAACATGACTGGCTTGTTCTTGGCTTTCATTTTTTAAAAAAATTTATTTATGTGTGTACGTCTTTTGCTTGTATGTATGCATGTATGTATGTATATGCACCATATTCATGTCTATGGAGGACTGTGAGACAAGGGTGCTGGAAACTGAACCCTGATGCTCTATAAGAACAGCAAGGGTGCCCAACCATTGAGCCATCTCTCCAGCTAAAGTACCCCTAGCCTGCTTCCCCCCTCCCCCACAGCACCCAGGAACACAAGGGTGATAGCATCCACAGTGAGCTGCGCCTTCCCACACCAGTCATCAATCAAGAAACTGCCCTGCAGGTTTGCTCACAGGTCCAATCTGATGGGGACACTGTCGCCCTCTTCAAAAGTCACTCTAGCTCATGCCAAGTCGCTAACGTAAAATAGCTAACACAGTGATAGACAGCTTGCCTGGCACTGCTGAAGCCCTGCACTCGGGAGGCAGAGGCAGGCGGATCTCTGTAAGTTCGAAGCCAGCCTGATCTATAAGAGCTAGTGCCAGGACAGGCTCCAAAGCTACAGAGAAACCATGTCTTGAACACCCTCCCCCCCAAAAGGCAGGAACACTTTTTCCAGCTAGCCCTGGGTTTTGATTTAACTAGCAGCTTTTGATTTAACTTTGTTTAGGGAATGAGAAGGGGACAGAAAATTCTGGCCTGCTAACGAGCCAGCAGGGGAGTTGAGGAAAGATGCATGCAGACTTGACATGGGTACTTGGCTTCCAGTGCTTTCTTTCACGGTGACTCATTCGTTCATTTGTTCATTCATTCCTTAGATTTATTCATTGCTATCAGACTGGTTATGGCCAGGAATAGTAGCAATAATAGCTGTAATCTAAATTCTTGAGAAGCAAGGATCAGGAAGGATCAGGAAATAGGCAGGAAGATCATGAGTCCAAGGGCAGCCTGGGAAATGGGATAAGATCTTGTCTCAAAAATCCATATATTATGGGACTAGCAATGTAGCCATCGGCTGATAAATGGCTTCCCTGACATGCATCCCTGGATTCAAATCCCAGTACAGTATAAATCTAGGCATGAGTGATGTGTACAGGTGAGGCCAGGCGTTGCCACAGCATGTGTGCGGATGGTAAACGAGAGATGTTTGGAAGTCAGTCTTTTCTCCTGCCGTGGATTCCAGGGCTGAAACTCTGGTCATCCGGCTTGCATGGCCGAGCTGTCTCTCCAGCATGATGCAGTTGTTAACTTAATCACAATGCTGTACATCGGTCCTCTAAACGTAGACACCTTACGCTGAGAGCCTTTACCCACATCTCCCTCTTTCTCTCCTCCCAGCTCCTGGTACCCATCATTCTATTCTCTGTTTCTGAGTTTGGCTTCTTGAGATTCCACATAAAAGTGACATCCCTTGGTATTTGTCTTCCTGTGTCTGGTTTATTTCCCTTTTCTTTCTTTCTTTCTTTCTTTCTTTTTTTTTTTTCCTGAGACAGGGTTTCTCTGTGTGGTCCTGACTCTCCTCCTGGAATTCACTCTGTAGACCAGGCTGGCCTTAAACTCAGAGATCCGCCTGCCTCTGCCTCCTGAGGACTGGGATTAAAGGCGTGCGCCACCACTGCCCGGCTGTTCCACTCATGTTGTAAATAGAAGGATTTCTGTTTTCTTTGTTTCTCTGCTGGGAAGCAAACTCATGATCTCACACACCATTTCCCAGCCTCTTTTTCCTTTATTTTGAGTCAGGCTCTAGAAGCTGCCCCGGCTGGCCTGGAGCTTACCATCCTCCTGCCTCAGCCTCACCTCTACTTGAGGTTTGCCCTGACAGTCTAGCTGTTAGACAGTGGGAAGGAGAATCACTGTTTTTAGCCATGGAACTTTCCTTTCTTCTTCATGCTTACAGTCTAATGATGAGGTACAGACCCTATTCCAGTTCTGAAGAAATTGTTCAGGGCAGAAGTCCCTGAGGTCTGTACCAGCATGTGGCCTTCAGCTTCCGGATGGCAACGGTCTGCAGTGTTGGCCCATCCATGTGTCACCAGGGAAAGGAACACAGGTCTGGAAGAAGAGCGGTGCTACCTATGAAGGAGACTGGAAGTTTGGAAAGCGAGATGGCTATGGCACCCTCAGTCACCCTGACCCAGAGACCGGAAAGTACAGAAGGGTGTACTCAGGCTGGTGGAAAGGGGACAAGAAATCGGTGAGTGGATCCCAGTATGCCTTGTCTGTAGGTGAGTCTGAGCACCAAGCTCTGTGTGTGTGTGTGGGGGGGGGGAGGCAGGAGGTGGACCTAGAGCCAGGAGGACCAGTAGTTTGGTGGGTGGGAGACGGAAGGGGTGAGGGAGTTGTAGTTCTTCTCAAAATAAAACCAAGAAAACAGGAAGCAAGAGGAACAGGGGGAGCCCCAGGGAGGCAGCAGGCAAGGCCTCCTCCACCCTCTTCCCCCTATTTCCTGGCTTTCTTCTCCGTGGTACCCCATTCTGAGTCTCCTCCTTTTGGCTTAAGTCAGACGGAAGGTAAGGAAGCGGGGTGTAATGAGGTCATTCTGGAGGTGGAGGCAGGAGGATAGCATGTTTGAGGCCATCCTGGGCTACACAGAGAGACCATGACTGGAAAGGGGAGAGGGTAGAAAACAAGGAGCGAGAACAGAGTTCACATCTTTGGCCATAGGGCAAGAGCAGAAGGGGGTAGAAGCTAGCCAGAGGGACATCCCCGTCCATTCTGCAGACATATTTCCTCATGCTGGCTATGGAGCCTGATAACAGTGTTGCTATTGGGCACTTACTGTATGTGGTACGGTACTTGAACTGACTCCTGTAACAGTTTATCGCCTTTAGTATTCCGTTTTACTAACTAAGGGACTACTAACTAAGCCTTTTCAGAGCCCTAGATTTCATATTCTTTGCTCTTAGAGGGAAGACAGCCTAAAGCAAAGGGTTTGCATTTAATATAGCCTTACCAGTGGCTTCCCTGGGCTTGGGAGAGGGTGTTATCTAGTTGAGAAGATACAGGGCAGGTCATACCCCAAAGGAGCAAGGAGTTAGCCAGGTAGACATGTCAACGGGGAGGAAGAAATAACAAAGATGTCTTCCCTGGGGAGGGCAGAGTTGGATGGGAGACGCTATGGACTATAAAATATCCTTCTGGGGCTGTACGGAGGGAGGGTGTGCGGAAGTGGCCCGAGAGATAAGAGGACTAAGGAAGAGGGGAAGAGGGAAAACCGACGCGGGCTGTAGAAAGACGGTGCTAGAATCCTAGAATCCTTTCACTTCTGATTGGATGGCTGGCGATGCGACAAACCTCAGGTGTGAGACTTGAGTAACCTGGCGAATGGCGGGACATCTTCCTTCTTTCAGGGCTATGGGATCCAGTTTTACGGACCCAAGGACTACTATGAGGGTGAGTGGTGCAGCAACCAGCGCAGCGGGTGGGGACGCATGTACTACCGCAATGGCAACATCTACGAGGGCCAGTGGCTGAACGACAAGCCTGAAGGGGAGGGCATGTTGCGGCTGAGTGAGTGCCCCGCCCCATGAAACCACGCCCCAATGCCTCTTGGTCCCACCCCTTTCCAGAAAGATCCCACCCCAGACTCCCTGCCCCACCTGCCACGTCCCTGTAACACCAGCCTTGTGGGCCCTAAAAAAGTGAGATTCCAACTTCCAGTGAGCTCCAACTAGCTGAGGCCCTGGGTCAGGTGGAAGGCTTCGGCGGTCGGTCAGTCTGTCTTGTTGTCCCTGTATGCCTTAGCAAAGTCTGCCTTCAGTGTGTCTCCACTATGTGTAACTTGTATTCAGGGTCACTTGCTGAACAGAGCCAATGTTCTAGGCGTGTCATTTCTCATGGCTTGGGCTCTGGGCAAGCTTACGTGAATTCAGATCCCGGTGCTAGCGCTGCGGCCCCAGGCAGTCTGCTTGCAGAGGGCCTGGGAGATGGCGCAGTAATGGCTCTTCCACACAGACCTGCCCACCTGAAGTTGATCCTGGGCCCACGAGGTGGGAGGAGAAAACTCACTGCCTTAAAGGCCAGCCTGTGCTAGCTAGGTGGCCATGCTGTCTCAGAAGATACAACTCCTGTAGCTTTCATCACAGGACTTAGGAGGCAAAGCCAGGCGGAGCTCCAGATCCCCAGGGTGTAGAGCACTTGCCTAGCTCAAAGCCCCTAGCACTGCAGAGCAAAATGGAGTAAAAAAACAAAAGCAACAACAAAACCATAAACTGGAACTAGAGCTACAGCCCAGAGACTAAGTGTGTGCATGCATGCTACAGCCCGAGTGTGTGCATGCATGCGCCATGTTCTGTCTCCAACACCAAAAAAATAAACCCTTTGAAGTGGTCGAGGTAAAATGCTATTTTTGCTGGTATGGAGCTGGAGACTACACCTGCTGTCTAGCGCCCAGTGACTCTCTATGCTGGTGTGGGCTACTGTCTAGCGCCCAGTGACTCTCTATGCTGGTGTGGGCTACTGTCTAGCACCTAGTGACCCTCTAACATACCCGTGTCAGCAGCTAGACGGGTGAGGCCCAGCCTGATAGCCCTGACTGCTGCCCTGTGCCCAGCACCCAGGCTTGTCTGTTCTCTCCATAGAGAATGGGAACCGATATGAGGGCAGCTGGGAGAGAGGCATGAAGAATGGGCATGGGCGTTTCTTTCACCTGGACCACGGGCAGTTGTTTGAAGGCTTCTGGGTGGATGACGTGGCCAAGTGTGGTACCATGATTGACTTCGGCCGTGATGAGGCCCCGGAGCCCACCCAGTTCCCCATTCCTAAGGTAGGTGAAGCCAGAGGATAGACACAGCATCTGTAGCCCCACTGTAGCCCCACGTGTCCAGGAACTATGGATGAGGTTTTGTTTTACTGGGTTTTGTTTGGTTGGGTTTTTTTTTTTTTTTGGTTGTTTTGTTTTTGTTTTTGAGATATGGTTTTCTCTGTAGCTTTGGAGCCTGTCCTGGAACTCGCTCTGTAGACCAGGCTGTCCTTGAACTCAGAGATCCACCTGCCTCTGCCTTCCGAGGCTGGGATTAAAGATTTTGTTTTCAAGCAGAGCATCTCCAGCAAGGCAGCCTGGGGCCTTCCATGCCCTTAAACCAACCAACCAATCCCCTTCCCCTGCTGCTCTCCAGGTAGAGATTCAAGACCCAGATGGTGTTCTGAAGGAAGCAATCGCTGCGCTGAAGAACTCGGAGGATGAAGAGGACTGACGTCCAGTAAGAAGACACATCTGCCATCTCTGATCTCACAATCTGAGGCAGCTTTGCATCCCTGAACACTGCTGATCTGGTATCACTGAGAGCAGACCAGAGAGGGAGAGCTTCCTGCTCCTGTACCTTAGCTTTTCCTTCTACTCCCCTTTGAAGCGCATGTTCCTCCAAGAGCAAGTGCATTCCAGGTCTGCCCAGATCTCTCAGTTGCATTCTCAGCCTCCTGAGGTGAGCACTGAGCTGGTCAGGTGGTCCCATCTAAAGATCCTTAAATAAGGCTGTGGGCCCTAGGCCCGCACTGACACAACTGTTTCTGGGGCCTTGCCTGGAGTGGCTGTGAGGCTTCAGGGAGAGGTGTTGATGACAGCGGGTTTTGTTTTGTTTTAGATGATTGTGTTTCTAATACTAGTTCCAACATCATCCCCACCTGTAGAGAGAGCACATCAAGGCTTAGGAGAAACGCCAGCCCTTGTCACCAAACTGCTCAGACCGGTGCAGCTCCTGCAGAAGCAAGCAAGCGACTCTGGGCACGCCCTTGGCTCCCTCAGAGGGCACCCACTCCTCTAAGACACTAGGTTATTCTTTGCCAATGGAGGTGTGGTATTACTTCTCCCTGGCTGGCCTTGGGGACCCACTTGTTTAAATCCTTTGCCCTATGCCTTTTTATCAGAGGACTTGAAAATAAAGAACCTGGTGGCCTTGCACCAAGGACCTATGGCTTGAGCAGGGGTGGGAGGAGTCGGAGAGGGAAGGGAGGTAGCCTCACCGACTGTGTGTGTGTCAGGAGGAGTTGAGGGTTCGAGGCAGGGGAGCACGAAGTGGTTTCAGTTCTACTGCATCTGAGCCAGCCAAGAGCGGAGAGTGAGTTGCCCTCTCTGCCACAATGGCCACCAAGATTTGAGATTAAAGCAGGTCCCCACCTCCTTAGCCTATCACAGGAATCTCAAGGAAACTTTAAAAACCATGAGTATACAGGACAGTTGTTGTAGCCTGTGCCCTAACAACAGATATTTGGAAGCAGAGGCAGGTGGATCTCTGAGTTTGAGGCCAGTCTGGGCTACACACTCAGTAGGGCAGTATCTTGAGATCTCACAGTAAAAAGACGGTGGTTTAAAACCACTGAGCAAGAATCCTTTCACCTAGCTCCTTGGGGACATTTGGTTATGCTTGGAGACACTCCTAGTTGTCATGGTGACAGAGAGCCATGCTAATGGCATCTTAGGGCAGTGATTTTTTTTTTTTTTTAATTTTCGAGACAGGGTTTCTCCGTGGTTTTGGTTCCTGTCCTGGAACTAGCTCTTATAGCCCAGGTTGGCCTCGAACTCACAGAGATCCACCTGCCTCTGTCTCCTGAGTGCTGGGATTAAAGGTGTGTGCCACCACTGCCCGGCTAGGGCAGTGATGTTGTTAAACATGCTATACTTTTTTAAGTTTTAGTTTGTTTGTTTGTCTATTTGTTTTTCTGAGACAGGCTTTCTCTATGCAACAGCTCTGATGGTTCTGAAACTCACTATGTAGACCAGGCTGGCCTAGAACTCACAGAGATCTGCTTGCCTCTGCCTCCTGTATCACTATGCCCAGCTCAACATGCTACATTGTAAACAAATTACAAAGGAATAATTCAGCTCATTGTCTGTCCGTAAAGCTCTTAGCAAATGCCCCAAACTCAGTGAGGCACGGTGGCTCACACCTACCCTCACAGCACTCTGGAGGTGGAGGGTTTGACAGCAGCCTGCTCACTAGTGAGCACAAGGATGGATCAACAGAACAGAAAAGCCCACACTGACATCAGGAGGCTTTCTCTGCCCCTAAATTCTTTTTTTTAAAATATTTATTTATTTATTATGCATACACTATTCTGTCTGTGTGCATGTATGCAGCCAGAAGAGGACACCAGACCTCTTTACAGATGGTTGTGAGCCAGCATGTGGTTGCCGGGAACTGAACTCAGGACCTCTGGAAGAGCAGCCAATGCTCTTAACCACTGAGCCATCTCTCCAGCCCCTTCTTCCCCTAAATTCTAAGTATGCTGACCTACTTCAGTGTGTGTGGTATTGGCTGCACCTGACTCCAAGATCAACGTATAACTCCATGCTAAGTGTGCTTACACTGTCCCAGACTGGGTGTGGACAGCTTCAGCTGCCTCTCCTGTGACTCCCTAACCTGTGAGGTGACCTACTGTTCTCTGCTGTTCTAGAGGAAACAGGTTTGTAAGTCCCCAAGCTAATACTGTGCCTAACCTAATTGTTTTGCTTTTTCAAGACAAGGTTTTAGCTCAGACTGTCCTGGAACTTACTCTGTAGACTGGCCTTCAACTCACAAAGATGTACCTCCCTCTGCCTCCCAAGTGCTGGGATTAAAGATGTGTGCCACCACTGCCTGCCCCTATATATTCTTTTGTGTGTTTGCCTGCATGTACCATGTCTGTGTACCATGTGCATGCCTGGTGCCCAAGAAGGTGTAACAAATGGTTGTGAGCTGCTACATGGGTGCAGGGAATCTAAACAGGGTTCCAGAGAGCAGCAAGTGCTCTTACCCACTAAGCCATCTCTCCTGCCCAGATCTCTACATTCATAGATAGTGAAGTATATGGCTTTAGTCCCAGCATTTGGGAGGCAAAGGCAGACAGATCTCTGTGACACCAGCCTGGTCTGGTCTACATACTGTATACCTCAAAAAGGGGTAGGGTTTGAGGATATACTTATCTACAAAAAGCAATAAACTGGTAACAGTAGTTACTTCTAGAGACAACTGAGGACTTGGGAGATGACTTCTGTTTGACTCTTGAGACAGGGTTTCTCTGTCTAACTGCCCTGTCTGTCCTGGAACTCACTTTGTAGACTAGGCTGGCCTTGAATTTAAGAAATCTGCCTAGCTGGGCAGTGGTGGCGCGTGCCTTTAATCCCAGCACTCGGGAGGCAGAGGCAGGCGGATCTCTGTGAATTCGAGGCCAGCCTGGTCTACAAGAGCTAGTTCCAGGACAGGAACCAAAAAAGCTACGGAGAAACACTGTCTCGAAAAATCCACACACACACACACACACAAAAAAAATAACCCCTCAAACTGTTGAATTTGGAAGCAAGTGAATAATCTACCATATCCAAAATGAAGCAGAGAAACTGTGTTTTTATTTAATCATCTACTTTGGTGCTGGGATAGAACATAAAGCCTGGTGTAGGCTGAGCCAATGCTCTACCACTGAACTACACCTCAGCTCCGAGACGGGGCTTGTAAGGAGTATTTACTCCAGGTGCCTGGGTACTTGTTAGAAAGATTCCAGAGATCTATCCAGACCAGCAGCCAACCTGAATCAGCTCATGGTGGATGGCGATGTTCGGGATCTACATTCTACAAGTCAGCCGGGTGATTCTGGATCCAGACACATTCAGGAAACAAAATATTAGACTTCAGAATCATTGTCCAGGAGTAATTCCAGCAGGAACCTGGGTCTCTAGAGAAGCAGGAAGGTGATTTAAGTGATAGCCAGGCTTCTCTGGGGAGCAGAGGTAGCACTTGGGACCCTCCCCAGTCGTACCTAGCATCTCTCAAGGATGGTTCTTGTGCAGTGATGCTGAGATGCAGGATGGTTGCGAAGTGATGGGAGCACGACAAATATTAGGCCCCTAAGCTACTTTATAGGGCCTGGGGATACAGCTCAGTGGTAGGATGCCTGCTTGTTATGCACGATGCCCTTCATTTGATTCTCAGCACCATTAGACCATTAGAAGGCAAACAAAACCACGTTATATATTGGAGCTTCCAGGCAGACACATCTCAAACTCAGGGCCTGTGGGAGTCAAGTACATAATGTCTTTAAATTTACGTTTATTGTGACCGTGTCTGCAAGTTCCACATTGCATGTGTGGAGGTCAGGGGACAACTGGTGAGAACTGTCTCTCCCCTCCTGCCTTGCGAGTTCTGGGATATGAACTCAGGTGACCAAACTCTGGGACAGCTCCTTTATCTGCTGAGCCATCGGATAGCCCAAGGGAAGTAATACTAGGTGGCCCAGTGTGAACCACAGGGAGTGGTGTAGCCCTGCAATGCAGGCCCAGGGCCCCTGCACCTTCCCTGTCTTCAGGCAAGGCCAGACCCTGCCTGGGTAAGATTCTTTAAAGGCCCTGAGCTCTGAGGCACCTTCCGGGTTTGAGTTCTGGCAAGTTATTGTGATAGATGCTTAATCTTCACTGTCAACTTGACTGGATTAGGAAAAGCCCAGGGGATTAGTAAAGCACCTTGGGGACTGTGCGAGCATTTCCAAAGTCGATTAGCTCACAAGGTCTCTGACCTAATCAATGGCAGGGAGTCAGGGCTCTCTGGCCAGCAGGCACGACAGCATTATTAGGAGGTGGTGAAGGATGGGAGGTGGCGCTCGACAGGAAGGCCACTGGATGTGAATCCCCGGGGACTGGATCTCGCTGTGGTCACTTCCTAGGTCCCCTTGTTTGACTCTTGGCTGCCATGACACAAACTAATGTCTCTGTCGTACCCTCTTCATCAACACGGACTGACATGTCCGAGACCGTTAGCTGACAACAGGCCTCTGAGTTGCCTTTTTTGTCCCTCCCTGGTCACGTGATGCAAAGGCCAGCTACATTAGCCTCCTTGAGCATCAACTTTGTTTCCTGCAGTGAAGATTAAAGTGCTGAGAACGCTGAGGGTCCAATGAGCAGCACGCAGTACTTACAACACCCCCACACATAACGGCTACAACTATCAAGAAGCTAAACTAACACGGTATTCTGTAAAACCACAGCTCTGGGCACTTGAAAAAAAAGTTAAAATCTGGGCTGGACAGATGGCTCAGTGATAAAAGCAACAGCTGCTCTCACAGAAGACCCATGTTTTGTCCCCAGCACCTACATGGTGGCTCACAACTAAAGTTCAGGTCTCAGGTGATGTGGTCCCCTCTTCTGCCCACCAAAGGCACCAGGCATGCATGTGTACACATACATACATACATGCAAGCACTCACACATGAACATTAAAAAAAAAATTTTGTTTTGTTTTGCTTTTTGAGACAGGTTTCTCTGTGTAGCTTTGGAGCCTGTCCTGGGGTGTCGCTCAGTCTCTAGAGAGCCTGTTTAGCATTCAGGAGGCTCTGGGTTTGTCTGTTCCCAGCTCTGCAAGCCACCTGGTATGGTGGTATACCTGTCATCCCAGAACATGGGAGACAGAGGAGAATCAGCTGTTCAAGGTTATTCTCCATTACATAGCAAGTTCGTGGCGAGCCTGAGCTACAGGAAGCCATCTTAATAAAACCCCCAGAGGTCTGGTCTGGAAAAGGCAGAAGCCAGGCAACTGTTCCACACTAAGGCAGACATTAAGCGACAACTCTAGTATACACGGGGTGGAGAAATGGACTGCTGTAAAGGGTGGTCCTAAAGTAGGAAACGGAACTTGAGTATCAGGAAGTGACTGCAGTGAACCCAAAATCCAATCTCCTGGATCTGGACCGAGGATTTAGACAAAGCAGAACACTCGCCTAACATAGAAGAAGGCCTAGGTTTGACCGCATCCTGTTAAGTGGATGTGTGGTGCACAAAACTGTTAATTCCAGCACCTGGACAATGGATGTTCCTGAAAGACCACAAGTTCAAGGCCAGCCTTGGCTACTTAAAATCCTGTTCTCAAGTTTTGTTCATTTTGTTTTTTTAATTTGATCAATGAGTTGTGGCCATGTAAAGAAATAGCTTTGTTTTTAGGTCATATTTAAGCTAATAAGAATAGCTGTGTATCTATGTGAGCATGCGTCATATGTATGCTGGTGCCCAGTGAGGCCAGAAAAGGGGTTCAGATCCCCTGAAGCTGAAGTTACAGGCAGTTGTGAGCTGTCCTATGTGGGTGCTGGAAAACTGAACTTTGGTTTTCTGGAAGAGCAGCAAGTTCTTTTAACTACTGAGCCATCTCTCTGGCCTTGAGTCTTTTATTTTTTGTTGTTTTTTTAAGACAGTTTCTCTGTCTGGCCCTAGCTGTCCTGGAACTTGCTCTGTAGACCAAGCTGGCCTCAAACTTAAAGAGATTCCTCTGCCTCTTCCCCCAGAGCGCTGGGATTAAAGGCATGCATCACCACCACCCAGGACTCTTAAAATTCTTCAATGTGTGTGTTTTTTGCCTTGCCTGCATGCCTATGAACACATGTGTGCCTAGTCCCCATAAAGGCCAGAAGAGGCTGTTGAATCTCCTGTTATGGGGTTGTGAGTTACAACACGGATATCAGGCACCAAACCTGGGTCTTCTGGGAGCGCAGTCAAGTGCTGTTAAGATCCGCCTGTCTCTGCCTCCCAAGTGCTGGAAGTAAAGATGCGTGTTGTCACCACCACCCCGCAAAGGCGTCTTTTATCCGAGCAAAGTTAAATGTCTTGGAGTATAGCTCAGTGGAAGAGTGCCGGGTCAAGTCCTGAGTTCCATGCCCAGCAGCACAACTGTTGTAGAGGTTGGTGGTCCGAGGCGAAGGCTTTGGCCCCATGAAGCTAGTGTTCTTTGTCCCTGAGCCCCTTTCCTCAATTTTCAAAAAGATCAATTGACTAGGGCATTCTATCACACAGTCTAGACCCAAGAAACGCAGACACGAGAAGAGGTGTCCCTTGTGTGTATATTTTATGTGACACGCCCACGAGCATGCGTGTGCACACACACACACACAAACACGCACACACACACATTCACACGAACTGGGAAGGAGGCTGAGAAGGAGGACAGGAAGCATCCGGGTGGCACTGGTACGGGGGAGGAAAATTGGACAAAGAGCATCTGTCCCACACCACCCCCACATCCTACCAGGAGGGGACCCAGAGCTGGAAGAACAGGGAGTGCTTATTCTCACAGAAGAAAGTCTCAAAGTGCAGTGATTTTTTTTTTTAAAGCCTCTTCCCTCCACACTCTGCCGTGGTGAAGCCCAGCCGCCTGCACAGGCTGTCCTCTAGAACCGGCCAGGACAAGGTCATGGGAAGGGCGTTAAGGCAAAAGCTCGAAAGTTCCCAGGGCCAGTGGGAAGGCAAAGACTCAGGCGTAATGGGTGCCGGGTGTTAAAGAATGGTCCCCTCTGTGGTCCAGCTGGTCCTGCAAGCGGGCAAACTCTGCCAGCTCGTTGAGCTCCTGGAACTGCCGGTCTGTCTTATGGCTGACCAGTGAGCGGTAGAAGTGAACAGCAAAGACGATGAAAACCAGGCCACAGGGGACCATGATGGCAGTGGAGGCAATGGCTGCCGCCTCACCCGGGGTGATGCCACTGCTGTTGGCGACAGCTGCTGACTCGGGAGGGGGCTTGGTCGGGCTTGGTTGGCCTGAGTGTCTCTTGAGGGGTAAGAATTTGACCCAGCAGAGCAGCACAACCTCAGCCAGGAAGAGCAACGTCCCGATGACAGTGGAGAAGGCCCAGGCCAGCTCGATGTGGCGGTGCATGCGCTCGTGCGGCGACTCTTTGACCGAGTTGAGGTTGTGGACGTTGCTCACAGCCTCAATGTTGGGGAGGATACAGGTACTGATCATGAGTGCGAACAGATGCACGGCCACCAGCACCGTGGTACAGGCACTGAAGACAATGAGCAACCCTGGGGGATAGTCATGGTCTGTATCCAGCTGGACTTCTACCATCGCCACCTAGGGAGGGGAACAGGGAAGTAAGCAGCAGGCCAAATCCTAGTTCCCTTCCCACCAACCTGTCCCTTGGCCTCTCAGATTCTGTTTCTGGGAATGATAAAGCCCTACCCACTCCAAGTAGAGAAGTAGCAAAAACTACTGACGAGGACAGCAAGAATGAATCCATTAGCTGTGTGTCCTTAGGAAGTCAGTGTCTCTGAGCCTTACCATATAGAAAATAGAGCTATTTTAACAATTAAGAGAGTTCCTGGTGTACAAGAAACATCTTCCAAATGGGAACGCTGCTGTTGTCAGTGTTGACCAGAGTCAGGGAAGATTACAGTAAAGTATATTATGCATTCTGTAATTTTTTTGTTGTTTGTGTTTTTTCAACAAAGAGTCTCTCTGTAGACCAGGCTGACTTCAAACTCAGAGATCCATTTGTCTCTGCCTTGGGGTGTATGTGGGGGGAACACAGTTTTTTCCTCTATCGTGGATCCTGGAAATCAAACAAAGCTTGATAATCTTGGTAGCTGGTACTTTTATCTGCTTCACTATCTCTCCAGATCAAGAAAACTTTAAAATACCTTAAAAATAAAATAAGCCAGGGCTGGAGAGATGATTCATCAATTAAGAGCAGTGGCTGCTCTTACTGAGGACCCGGGTTCGATTTCCAACACCCACATGACAGCTCACAACTTTCTATAACCCCAGTTTTAGAGGATCTGACACCTTCACACCAATGCATATAAAATAAATTAAAAAAAAATCAAAGGATGAAAGGATGGTGGTGACACACACCTTTTCACAACACTCAGGAGGCAGAGGCAGGTGGATCTCTGTGAGGTCCAGGCCAGCTTGGTCTGCAGAGCCAGCTCCAGGGCAGCCAAGGCTACACAGAGTACCCTTGTCTTGAAAACAAACAAAAACAAAACCTAGGGGCTGGAGAGATGGCTCAGTGGTTAAGAGCATTGCCTGCTCTTCCAAAGGTCCTGAGTTCAATTCCCGGCAACCACATGGTGGCTCACAACCATCTGTAAAGAGGTCTGGTGCCCTCTTCCGGTCTGCAGGCATACACACAGACAGAATATTGTATACATAATAAATAAATAAAATAAATGTTTAAAAAAAAAAAACAAAACCTAAAAAACCCCAACAACTACCGTCCATTACTTCATCTGGCCCCACACTGTCATAGTAAAACAGGACTCTATTTCATGTCCTGCTCGGGGACAAGGAACAGGTTGGAAGCTAGAGAAGTGAAGGCCTTCTCACATCACATCTAGGTCCGTTCTGAGAACAGAGCGCACAAGCCAACAAGGAACCAAGAGCTGCTTCTCAGAACAGACAGACTCAACCCTGTGCCTGTATCTTGTCTGGCTCAGCAGCCAGCAAGCCCCATGGCCATGTCCTTTAGCCCAAGGGCTCACACACCAGCTCCCCAAGTTCCTGGAGACTTGAGGATTTGGGGTTACCAGGGTCATACTCTGGGCCTGCCACCTGCTCTTTACACCTGGGTCTTATCAGATTTGGGTGCTGGGTGTATTGCCAGGGTCTGCCCATGTGGGCCGGAAGGTCAAGGGCAGCAAAGAGACAGGGGAAAGGAAGGCTGGGGAATGTTAACTCGGTAGAGTGCCTGCTTCCCATGCAGGCAGCCCCGTTAATCCCCAACACGGCTATACTACAGACTACGCGTGGTGGTTCATGCCTGGAATCTCAGCCCTGGGAAAGTACAGGCAAGGCCAGAAGCTCAAGGTCATCCCTGGCTACACAGCAACTTCAAGAACACCCTGAGCTACACAAGACCCCGTCTTTAATGAGAAAATAAAGCAAAATGATGGTAAATGCAGGTGGTGTGGACAAACCTTTAAAACCTGAGGGGCACAGTAAAAATAGGTTTTATTAGTACTCAATTTAACCCCTTCATTCCTATCCCAGTCCACCTGAAATGCTGCAGTTCTCACCCTCCTGCTGGAGAGACAGGCTCAGCTCCAGAGAAGCAGGTCACCGGTGGACCTGGCTCAAGTCAGAGCCATTCCAAGTTCCCCTCTAAAGCTTCTGTCCAGACCCACGCATCTTTGTAAGATAGAAGGGGTGAGAAAGATCAGAGCAATGAGATAGTCTGAGGAAAGGAGCGGATGCTGCAAACAGCCAGAACACTTCAACAGGATTTAAAGGTTTTGCCTAAGAATTGCCACGACTAGCAAGGATAATGATGCTCCAGCCTGAGAATTTATAAAACGGTTCAAGTTCATGTAAATTTGGGGCACTGCCATGAGGCATTTGACCATTGTTTAAGATTCCCTGGTGGCCTAATGCCAACCCTGAGAATTATTCTGAGCCCATGCGGGCAAGGGAGCTGGGCAACTCAGTACATGCGGGTGAGGGGCATGGAAGAGCACAAGGCAAGGTACATCTTGAGGCTCTGGCCCAGTCTCTACCTCTACCTGGAGGAGCCTGGTACTCTCAGCAGCCATACCTCCAGCCACCTCCCCACCCCCACACTTCCTCTTCCTGTTTTGGCCTGCTGTTCCGGATACTGAAACCTGAGAAAGGACAGGCAGGAGAGGCTAGAGGAGCCGCCGCAGATCCACTGGCTCCTGCCGGCTGGGGTGGAGGGAATGTGCAGAGCTGCCCTGTGGGGCTGGTGCTGGGGGTGTTTATGGTCAGTTTGTGTACTTTCCTGCATCCCAGCAACCTTCCCGTGACATCCTGCCCCCCTCTGTGGAGCGTCTAGCACACAGACCCACAACACAAGGCTGATCGTGAAACCTGTGCCGCAGCTCACAAAGCTGGGGACCCTGGACAAGTAAGCGGTTAAGGCTTCAGTACTCCAGGATTTACTTCTGTAAGACGGAGGCCTGATTTTCAATAAAAAAAAAAAAAAAGATGGAGGCCTGCTTGTGACAGGGACGAAGCGCCATAGTGAGCACAAAATGCCCTTTAAACATTGCTTGACCTAGGATAAACTTTAGAGAGCATCAATGATTCTTACTAGTTACCAGCAAGAGCATGCTAGTCTAGTGCGGTGAGGCCCTGGGTTCCATGCACAGTGCAGACAGACAAGGAAAGTGAGATCAATGCAGAAAGGCAGCTATGCTGTGCTAGGGTAGGGAAGGGGGACACAGGGCCACGCCAGGGCCTGTGTGTAATGAGGGTGCACTTTTTCGCATGGTCACTGAGGTTAAATGAGGTTTTTATGTGTAAATGTTTAGCACAGAATCGGCCAAAGGAGAAGCTCAATAAATCTTAGTTAAAAAGAAAAACAAAGAGCTAGAAGTGGAAGAGAAAAAGGGTGGATTCCCCGTGCCTGCACGCTATTCCTCACAGGGGGCCTGGTATATTTCTTTCAGAGACAGCGCGAGCTCCCAGTGTGGGTAGCAGAGAAGTGTACTCCACCCAAGACCTGGTCAACTGAACATCCCTGCACGACAGCGTCACCAGGGTCATAAAACCTGACCGAGGCACACACGGTCTAGGGCACAAAAGTCAGTGTTCTCACAGCCTTGGGCTGAGGGAAGGCTGAAGTCCCCATGGAAGAGGAAGGACCTGCTGCTCCAGAAGGAACCTGGTCACCCTCATCTACCATTCCTGGAAGTCCAGCCACACAGGCTGGCAGGATGCACACTTGCCACGTGTAGGACCAAGTTCAATGGCACAGGGCTACATACAAGAAGTGATTCTGAATGAGTAAGGGGGGGTTGGCATAAATCATGAACCCCGTGAAAACTGTTCACAGGCGTAAGTCCTCTTCTGAAAGGATTCCCACGAGGAGTATGTCCTGCAGGGTCGGGGGAGTAAGTCAGGGGAGGCCTGGCAGGATCTGGCAGCTGACATCTGGGGGCCCCAGCAGAGTCCAAGGAGATCACATCAGATCAGATTGCATGCAGCTTCACAAGGTAAATATAGCAGGGAGCAGGGCTGTTAACCCAAAATAAACAGCTCCTAGTCAGCCAGGGGCCTTCACAAACCCGGCTGTACAGGGTCCCCAGCTCCCACCAGTCGACAGACCCTCACCGGAGAAACTGGGGATCCTAGCACTGAAGCACGGGCTAAGGATGACTGATCCTGGGGAGGGCAAGGCCCGGCTGACCCGGACAGCCATGTGCCCCCTCCCACCTGAATACCACCTCTTACCTTCCTGTTGGGCTCCATGGAGACCCTGCGCACCTGGCCACTCTGGTACTTTGGAGAGAGCCCCCCCCACTTGCCTTGCCCAACCCCTCTACCCACAGTGGGCAACATGGCTTTCTTTTCCCTAGTTCTTCCAGTTCATCCTACGGATAGCTGTAGCCTTTGGGAGACCTCCAGACCCCAGGCACATGAGCTTCACCAAGCTGCCTGCCTTTTCCAACTCCATTCCAAATGCAAGCCATCGATTGAGAGATCTGAATCCAGTCCCGTGGTTTATAAACTCTCTTGACCACAGTAGCCCAGCACTCTAATAAATGTTTCTAAAAATAGATATGCACTCTTTTATGAAACAGAAACAAAAGTTTCACTAAAAACCACTTACTCTTGAAGCCTGTCAATGCAATCCATTCTTACAAGCTCGGGCTCACTACTCCCCCCCCCCCCGAGAATTCCAGAGATATCTCCTCCCATTCTGAAGGAGAGACAATACTGTGGAAATCAAATACTGTTCCATAGCTACTGGGCAAACCCTCCTAAAAGCCTGGCATTCAATCTTCCTTAACCCAAGGGCAGAAACAGAAGGGCCAGCGCACAGGACACCAGGGTCAAAGGGGTGGTGGTGTGTGCTGGACCCCCTAGCTGGCTCAAAAAAAAAAAAAAACCGGAGAAAGTCGGGCAGTGGTGGCGCACACCTTTAATCCCAGTACTCAGGAGGCAGAGGCAGGAGGATCTCTGTGAGCCTGGTCTACAAAGCAAGTGCCAGGACAGGATCCAAAACTATAGAAACCTTGTTTCTAAAAACAAAACAACCCCCCCCCCCAATCTACTGATCTTGGTGTCCACACTCATTTTTATTTATTTATTTATTGGTTTTGTTTTGACCAGGG